GATTTGAAGGCTCACCTTTCTCAAGGCTTCTAACCACTTCCAGTCTTGTTTTCTCTTCTTCTTCATGTAGTTTATCCACCTCATTGGAGTGTGTCTTCAAATCCTTATAGACCTTATCCTCTTGAAACACAACATTTCTACTGATTGTACACTTTTCTTCTTCCAACAGCCATATCCTGAATCCTTTCACTCCAGAGGGATATCCGAGGAAAATACCCTTCTTGGCCCTTGGATTAAGTTTACCTTGGTCGGTGTGGACATAGGTGATGCAGCCAAATCTCCTTAGTCCACTGTAATCAGGTAAAGAGTTTGTCCACTTCTGTTCCGGAATCTCAAACTCTATTGCACTTGAAGGTGATTGGTTGATCAAGAACACTGCAGTAGCTGCAGCCTCGGCCCAGAACTCTTGTGATAACCCTGACTCACTCAACATGCTGCGAACTTTGTTCATGATGGTTCTGTTGAGTCTCTCAGCTACCCCATTTTGCTGAGGCGTGTATGTACACGTTCGATGCCTTGTTATCCCTTCATTCCTGCAGAATCCATCAAACTCCTGATTACAGAACTCCAACCTGTTATCTGTCCTCAATCTTTTAACTCTTTTACCCATTTGTAGCTCCACCATCTTCTTCCACTCAGAGAACTTTGCAAACGCCTCATCCTTTCTCTTTATGAAGAAAATCCATACCTTTCTTGTGAAATCATCAGTAAAACTGATGAAATACTGACAGTTTCCGAGGGAACTTGGTACGGTTGGAGAGCCCCAGAGATCTGAGTGTATGTACTCCAACTTCTCCTTGGTAATGTGTTTAGCTGCTCCAAAGCTCACGCGATGTGCTTTTCCATAAACACAGTCTTCACAGAATTCTAGACCGGTTGCATTGCATTTCTGCAGACAGCCTTTCTTGGCTAGAACCTCCATCCCCTTCTGACCCATATGGCCGAGTCTACTGTGCCATAGCTTGGTCTCTTCTGAGCTTTTATCCATTGCTTCAGCAATGATGACCTTTCCCTTCAGAAAATACAACCTGTTGGTTTTCTCAGCCTTTAACACTGTCCTGTATCCTTTGATAATCTTGAGTACTCCATCCTTAGACTGAAACCAACATCCATTCTCTTCCAGTGTCCCTAATGAGATGAGATTCTTGGACATAGCTGGAACATATCTCACATCAGTGAGCAATACGATAGTGCCATCATCATTCTGTATTCGGATGTTTCTGATCCCTTTGACGAGAGAGACTGTGTCATTCGCCATCTTGACGCTTCCACCATCTGCTTTTGACATAGTCTCGAACCACTCCATTCTAGGAGTCATGTGAAAGGTACAACCGGTGTCAAGAATCCACCTTTCACTGCTCTCATTACTTGTCAAGAAGTTTGCTTCTGCTTCTGAGACCATGAGAGCTGGAACCGGATAGTCATCACCATTTACTGCAATGCTTCTCCTTTCTCTGCAGAGGTGCTTCCCTTGTTTCTTTCTTTCCACACGAAGCACTGTTTCTTGTAATGACCTTCTTTTCCACAGATCCAACATGTTTTGGCTCCACCTCGTGACTTGGATCTGCTTTTACCCTAGCTCTTATCTTGACCTTTGTTCCTTGTCTCAGATCTCCCTCGGTCTTGAACAAATAGAGCTTCTGAGCTGTTCTTGAGCGGTTTTCCTGTCGCTCCAAGCTCAAGAATCTTTGACCTGATTGCACCAGTGATTTCTTCCAGAGCTAGGGTCGTCTTGCAGTACTTTAAAGTCTCCTTCAGTTGATCGAACTGTCTTGGAAGAGACATGAGTAAGACTATTGGTTGGTCTTCCTCAGGTAATTTCACCTTTACGTTCTCTAGATCTGATATGAGCTTGAAGAAATCGTTTACATTCTCTTCTATCGTCATACTTTCACTCATTTTATACGCATAGAGTCTTTGCTTCAAGTATATACGATTTGGGAGTGACTTTGCCATGAACAAGTTGATCCCTGCAGTTGTCTTCTCCTTTATGATCTTTCTCAGAACATGATTCCCTACGCTCAAGATGATAGTAGATCTTGCCTTTCCTCTTTTCTCCTTGAGCTCCTTACTTTCGGGTTTTGCTTGCTTTGATGTTGTAGACGCCGGAGTAACTTCTCCTTCACTCGACACTTGAGTTTCTTCGTCTGCAGCATTATCAGCTTCTCCTAAACCCTCCATAAGACCCAACAAATCGAGGTGTGCCAAGAGCTTCTCCTTCCAGAGGATATAATCCCCTTCACCATCGAACTTCTCCACGTCGACCTTGCCCGAGGACATCTTCTCAACACCGAGCTGACGCCTTCACCGAGGGAACGAGACTTGTATCGGTGAACCTGGCTCTGATACCAATTTGTTAGGATTTAAGACAATAAATACTTGAGGTTTACTCTCTTGAATCCTCTCTCGCTCTCTCTTGTTTGTTGTTTAGTTCGATCTTGTGTGTAACTAAGCATAAAAGTATATAAGACAAGAGGTTTTAACGACTTCGGGTCATAAACTTGAACCCTACTGTCGCCAGGATCTGGTGCCCGGAATCCACTAGAATCACTTTTGGTTTTATAGTCCATACAACCTACTTTACAAAACCGCGCATGCTTTAGCCTGCAAGCCTACAGCCGACCATGTGAAGTGGTCCAAAACCTTGCTCTGCATCATTTCCGTTTTTGATAGAAACAGAGCACTCACCAACCAACTCTGTTTTGGTTCCGAAAGTGGTAAGTGTCATGCGCGTGCCACGTGATCCTTATCTCTTTCATTTTGGGCTGCAACGGCTATCTTATTCTTGGGCCTTCAACGAATCCGACCCACCTGCGGATTGTCTAAACCCTCTTCGTGCTTCAGAGTTTCTGCGACACTTAGTCTTTTAAGCAAATGAAAACTTCTTCTTCTTTAACTAAAGACAACTTCTCACAATAATCTTATATATTTTCTTCTTGAGAGCAATCTTATATTTACCAGTTTACCTCTACTATTAGTCTATTACGCATTTCCTCTAGTGCAATCTTATATTTTACATACAAAAATTAGTATTTTCCATATACAGTCAATGTTGAGCATTTCGTCTATATGTCTCCTTAGACCAAAATACTTCTAAATACTTAATGCATTTGTTAAATATTTTTCCGCTCGAATACATCTACATCATTTACCCTTGAGCACATATATTCCTTTTTTTCCCCCGAAAATAATTACGGTTTCACATTACTTTTTCCTACTTTATGTTTTTATCATTCTTTCTTGTGTTGTTTCTATTTCATGAATTCATCCATGTTGAGATAGTAGAGAATCGATGGTCAAAACACAAATTGGAAGAGGATCTAACATTCCTTGTTTATGGTCCAAAAAAATAAAATCTAAATAATCTAGTTAACTTTATTATTATTATTAGTATTATTTGGTCGAATAGTATTCTCAATAAATGCATAATTTTAGTCCACATTCCATTTGGCAACCGTCATATACCACTTTCTTTTTCTGAAAAAGAAAGAAAGTAAACGTACATTCAGAATTTTGTTTAAATCCGTAACTCATTCTAGGAACTTTAAATAATAAATATACAAAAAGTAATTCAATAAAGAAAACCTTTTTAGTTTTTAGTGACTGAATGATTTTCGAAGTAACTTAGATTTTTGGAGAAAACAGACGTATACAACATTTTCTATGATCATATATTTATGAATAGATATTTCACTAAACAAATTTATGCATCGGGGTGAAGACACTATTTCAGATATAGCATTAAGCAACATGCTTTCGAAGATAATTTTTTAAAACTTTCATGATGCGCAACACTGCAAGATAGAATAGTAAGTTACTTTTTTTCTTGAATCGTCATTAGTTTTCTGCTTTTACACTTTTTGAATTTATTTATAATTAGACTTTGTCAACTAATTATGAAGGTGAACTGGTAAATTTGTATATAAAATAGTAATATTAAACGAAAATATTAAGGAATGATAGTAGTATGTTGCAAATTATGCACATATTCTTTTGAGATACCCAACTTTTGTTGGGAGAACAAAATGTATAAAAATTTATCTTTTTGGCCATGAAAGAGTAAACTTAAAAATATTTATTTAAAAAAAAAACTTAAAAAATATTTAAAAGGGTTAGAAGCTAGTCTATTGGTCCTAGAATGGTCCTAAGTACGAGTTACGACAAAGGCCAAGGTGGCAACATTTTGTATTTTAACAGCTATTTAGGAGGATAATATTTTAGTAACTAAAAATCTCACTAAACCAAAAGTGGCTTAATAATATGAATAAAATCAAGCAATTTATAATCGTAAAATAATCACTTGAAAATGACAATTGTTTTTTATTCCAAATAACAATACCATAGTACTTAATGAATTTGGTCTTATGATTTTTTTTAATAAGATAATAGGATTAGTATATATATTTACTAAGCTGATGGTTGAAATCATATTTATAATATATATCATTTAATTTTACTTTATATTACATCTCGACTACACAACTTAATATACACATGCGAATTTCGGTTAGAGAATTTTCTTCGTTACATACGAAAAATGAATTATTTTAATCTTACTTTCAAATGACAAAAAATTATGTTTAGTTTCCATATTGATTTCTGACCCAACAAAAATAAAAAGTTTCCATATTGAGATCGTAATCCCCAAAACAAAAATGTCAAAAAAACGCGGGCGTTAAATAAAAAAAGAAAGAAATAACGTAAAAAAAAAAATTGACGCGGAGGAATCGTGTGGGACCCCAAACAGCTCCATTGTCCAAATTCCGAAACTAAACTCATTACTCTAGTCTCGGTGGCACCAGGATCAGTCCTCCATTCCCCTGCTTTTTTTG